AAAAAAAAAAAGGTGGAGTCGAGTCAGCTCACGAAAACAGCTCGATTCATTTAACAGTTAGTTATGGTTAATTGGCTGTCCAATAGAGTGAAAGGACGATAAACTGTTGTAAACAAACTTAAACTGTGAAATTAGGTAATGTGTAATCGCTCCTTTTCAGCTTACTTCATCTTTTAAACAAACTTATCACACTAATTTCTTATGTTTATATGAAATTTACCACCATTTTTATTCGTAACAGTGAGAGGGGTGCAAGCAAGTAATAATAAGAAGTAATCAAGATTTCTCACTCAAATTAAAGAAAGCGCTCACGGTTGGTTTGCCTCAGATCCGGGGCACTCACTAGTTTTTTTTCTGTTGAGGGCCCAAAAAAGTTTGCCTTTTTTTAATTCAAGATTTTCTTGTGACCTCAAGAAAAAAGCTTCTTGCTTCACCCTTTAGTTATAAATCTCCTTTCTCGTCTTTGAAAGTGATGAATGCACACAAGTTTAATTCCCCCACCATAAAACGCTGATTTTTCATCTTGTTTGAAACTGAAGGATCTGCTTTACTGGGTACATGTGATTTTTTGTTTAATTTGATATGATAACTCTTTTCATGTGCTGGGTTTGAGTGGGAGGTAGAAGATTGTGAAGGGTCCGTCCAGAGAACAAGAAAATAAAGTTTCAGTCTTTCAGACAAGTTAGTTAGTTTCTTCACAGATGGCGACCCGTTTTCATCAGATCTAATCAATTATTTCCATTTTTTCAAGCTCTTTTTATTTGGGTCAATTTTATTGGTGAATTTTGAAGCCTCTGTAAGCTTCTATGTGTGCATATGACCCCAGCATGAGAAGTGGCTTGTGGGTTTTGGTTCACGCGTCCTAGATTTTTTATTTTTTATTTTATTTTATTTTTAATACTTGACAGAAAAAAAAGGTGCCCACTTAATTTCAACAACGACGGGTTTTGCGATCTTGGATGGGCGGCGGGGTAACTGTTGATGTTTAGTTAGTGATTTTTGATTGATAAGACGTATGAGCCTCTGTTTTCAGTGCCTTCTGAATTAGGTAACTCGTCTTACCTCAGAAAAGGAAAAAAGATTGATATATATATCTATATATGGATGTAATGAAAATCGAGATGATGGCCGAAGATAATGAGGATTGTGTTGTCGTTGATTCGGGAGCTCAACAAGTGGGTTTCGCTATGGTTTTGCACGAGGGTGAGAATGAGTCCTCGTCTCTGGAAGGGGACCCACTTCTCGAGAGCTCGTGTTCATTGTCCGTGGTGAGTGACACGAGCAGCCTGTGTGGGGACGACTTGTCGGGTTTGGAGATGGGCTCGGAAGTTGGGCCCGGTTTCTTGGACACGAACAAGAACATATTTGATGTCGAGCTGATTCCTAGGGATTTAAGTAAAAATGGTGTGATGGTCGGCGGCTCTTTGGTGGCGGCCGTGGGAGTTGAGGAGGAGACAGGGACAAAATCGTCATTTCAGGTTGAGAAAAAGGTGGGCCGGAGCATATTCGAGGTGGACTGCGTGCCCCTGTGGGGTTTCACGTCCGTTTGTGGGAGGCGTGCGGAGATGGAGGATGCAATATCGGCCGTGCCTAAGCTGCTGAGGATTCCTATACGGATGTTGGCTGGTGATCTTGCGGTTGATGGGTTGAGTTCGTGTTTGAGTCATCTGTCAGGCCATTTTTTCGGGGTTTATGACGGGCATGGAGGGTCTCAGGTTCGTCTTTCATTCTGTGCAATCACTCAAAAGGAAAAAAAGGGGATAAAAGGAGGAAAAAAACGTGATTACGAAATTATGATTGAAATAAAATAGTTTCACTTGATCCATGAGCTGAACTGCTGAAGTATTTGTTGTTGAGATTCTCTTTTTCCTTTTTTCTTTTTCTCTTTTTTCAGGTGGCGAACTATTGTCAGGATCGTTTCCATCATGCTTTGACCGAGGAGCTAGAAACTATCATGAGCAATCGAGAAGACAGTTGGACTAATTCACAAAATTGTGAGGAGAATTGGAGAAGGGCCTTCACGAAATGTTTTCTTAAGGTCGATGATGAGATTGAAGGGAAGAAAGCCCAAGTCGAACCAATTGCTCCGGAGACAGTGGGCTCGACTGCTGTTGTGGCTGTTGTCTGTTCGTCACATATAATAGTGGCTAATTGTGGGGACTCAAGGGCTGTGCTGTGCCGTGGCAAGGAGCCCTTGGCACTCTCAGTCGATCACAAGGTACTTTTAGTAAGCTTCGGGTATAAGAGCTGTTTCTATACACTTTTTTTTTTTCTTTTTCTTTTTTTTTTTCCCTCAAGAAAGTAAATTTGTCTGATTTCATTGTATGGTCTCGTTTTAGCCGAACCGTGAGGATGAATACGCGAGAATCGAAGCAGCTGGAGGGAAGGTGATACAGTGGAACGGGCATCGTGTTTTTGGGGTCCTTGCTATGTCTAGGTCCATTGGTATGATGGTTATTTCCAGTCGATTTCGATGTTTTGCTGCTTTTGGATTTAGGAGCTAAGCCAAAAAGAAATCTGTGTTGACAAATTTAAGAGATTATATGTACCCATCAAACCTTAAACTCATTCTTCACTTGTTTATTTCGACCTGAATGTGTTACTAAGCTCTTTAATCCAATGCTGGGCTTTAACAGGAGACAGATATTTAAAACCGTCAATAATTCCAGATCCTGAGGTCACGTTTGCCCCACGAGCAAGGGAAGATGAGTGCCTGATTCTAGCTAGTGACGGCTTGTGGGATGTGATGACTAACGAGGAGGTTTGTGACATTGCTCGTAAGAGAATACTACTTTGGCACAAGAATAACGGGCCCACGTCAGCTTCGGAAAGGGGAAATGGGGTGGACCCGGCAGCCCAGGCGGCAGCCGAATACTTATGCAACCGGGCCCTACAGAAGGGGAGCAAGGATAACATCACTGTAGTTGTGGTGGACCTGAAAGCCCAGAGAAAGATCAAGAAAAGGGTCTAGCTAGATAGAAATGAATAGCAAGTGTTTTGGAGATCGATTAGCCTTTGCTTATCCATTTTTAATATGATGATTTTTTTGTGTCATTGTTATTAATTTGAAGTTTCTTAGTTTTTGTTGAAGTTGATAGAATGGGATTTTTGGTTTTTATTGATTTTTTCTGCCCCTTCATGTTTTTGGTCTGGGGCTCATATGTAGTTGTTGACTGTTGAACTTTGTTGTGAACTTCATTTGGCGCTAGTGGCAAAAATATACAGTTAACCTTTCTTTTTTTTCTTTTATTTCCACCTTTTTTTTTCAGTTTCAGGTTAAAGTATGAGTATAAACAATGTTATGCTTTCAAGGAAGATGGCTTTCTATTTTTTTCCCAAACCAAAAACAGTTTATTTTTCATTAAAAACACACACAAAGTTTTCTCTCTTCATACCCTCATCGTCTTCTTGCCGGCCCTCCTCGTCCCTCCGACTTTTGGGCGGGGGTCACCGCCTTAGTCTCCTCTCCCCTCTGTGCTTTCTTTTGTCGGGGTAGGCACTTTCTCCGCCGTGGTTCTGCCTTCGGCGGGTGGGTCGGCCTCCGATTGTGTTTAGGAGCGAGCTGATGGTGGGATTCAGCTATTGAGTGTTGTGCCGGGCTGACGCTCTCGTACCTCCTCCTCGCAGTGCCTTTCATGTGACGGGGATGGTGCCTCCAAAGCCGGGTTTCCACAACCGACATGCGTTCCAGTCTCAATTTTAGGGGTGGGTGGACGGCGGACTTCGGTCGTCGAGAGCCGTTTGGCGGTGGTCGTTTGAACTGAAGGCATGATCAGTTTCCAGGGGGTTGAGCTCTTCTTTGTAGACAAGTTGCAGTGGTGGTGAAGCTTGGCGATGGCTGGAGAGGGCTTTACTGTGTCGATTAGGTGTGTGTTGTAGGTGTTTTGTTGCTTTTTTTCTTCTAATTTTTTGGTAAGTACAATTGTGTCTGACTTTAGTCCTTAAGAAGTTGTTTTGTCTCATTTTTTAATGTTCTTTTGTTTTGCATGTGTTTGTATTTCCTTGGTTGACTTTGGAATTCCAATGGGAGTTGGATTCAATATTTGTGCTGATTTTAGTGGTATACGTTGACACATCGATGTACTCTTTTTGAGTTTTTTGTTTTAATAATTACCATTTGAAAGAAAAATGTTTACTTTGGCAAAATTGTACTTGATATTGATTATTTGGGGGAAAAAATTTTGGATGATGGGAAAAAAGGGTTTGAATGAAAAAAGTGAAGTACACAGAACTCTTTTTCGGGTGGAATAAAGTGATTTTTCTAATTGTGAATTAATATTAAAAAAATATAATAATTAAATTGATGTAATAGAAAAAAATTAAAATAATGAATACAAATAATGAGTAATTAAAAATGTGTAAATGAATGAATATATTTTAAAAAAAAAAAATTATATATATATATATATATATATATAGTAATGTTTGATTTTTATTATTTAGTTATGTTCATAAAGTTAAGGAGACAAAAGTAGAATTAGATAATTAGTGAGATTACATGATTAGTGCGTGTATGCATATATCCAGCCGTAATTTTAATAATAAAAAAATGTTCTAACGAAATGAGAAATAATATTTATCTCTTTCTTTTTCGAAACAGTAGAAATTCATAGATAGAAACACATAAGTACAGATAGGAAACAACTAATCAACCGAACAAACCAGATAGCCAGCTGAATCTAAATGGGAGAACTACACAGAAATATAACCTAAAAACCAACCAAAAAACAAACAAAACACAAAACACAAAACATAAAGAACTACAGACAAGCTCCAACAAATGGAGAATGAGAAACTCCCAAACGGGAGAATAAAAAGGACCAACTAAACAAAAAAAAAAAAGGACCACATACTAAAAAAAAAGAAAAAAAAAACAACAACCTAGTACAACTTAAATTAACGCCCTTCCCACTAGATAGATAGGAACACCCATCACTATCACAACTCAAGCAAACACCCAAACGCGAAAACCGAGAGGAAGCCACGAGAACTACAACTCAACACAACGAAAGAATCGGACCGCAAAACCAACAACCACCCCATAGATCTCCGCTTACCTACCCGTGTCGGCTCACTCCACAGTCCCCCCACGTATACACCGAAGCAGCCACGCTACCGCGCACCGCAATCAGAGAACCGCACCATCCCAACACCCGAGAAGGTTGGAGGAGGGAGAACCAAGTGTAGACCTCCACCACAAACAGCCGCTAGGACGATTGCAGTGTCTACCGAAACACTGCCGCGGACGATCACCGCCTCTCCTCGCCCGCCATGGCACTCTGGAAACGAGCGGGACCACTTCCGGGAGGAAGAAACGCAAGGCCGCCACAGCCTCACCGCCGAGCCCAAGGCGAGCCAAATGCACGCCGGGGTTGCAAGAGCTAAGGCCACCGGAGAGATGCACACCGGGATTACAAGGGCTAGGGCCACCAGAAGGGAGGCACTCCAAGGAAGAAATACAGCTAAGGCACACCGGAAACAAATTGGGGATTCGAAGAGAGACATTCGCGAAGTCTATTACCCATACGTCTTTCAAATGATGAAAATGGTAATTTATATCTCTCAAATGTAAGAAGTTGAAATTCTTTCTGGTGCAAACAGCAGTCAAAACAGCACAACATCAACTCACGATTCATGAGTAACAGCAGTTCCAAGTGCACAATTTATTCCCTTTTATATTTTTCCCCTTCCCTGAAACAAAGCCAGACACCAAGAAATCCAGAAACAAACAGTATTTTTTCAAAAGGAAAAGAAGTGTTCTTTTTTTTAGTATTTTCTGTGAGCTAGCTCCTTAACAGCCTCGGCAAGATTTTTCTCGCTCTGAATGCTTCTAACCCAGGCCGCATTTATGTGGACCCTCTCGATACTCTGTTTCAATGTCCTTGCAATGGAAGGCTTTATACGGCTCGCAAAAAACAGCTCTACTTCCTCAGCCTTCTCATTTGAAGTGAACTGCAACAGAATCAAAATAACGAATAAATATATCAATGTAATAATATATTCGTCGTGTTTAAAATCTCACATCCCCCTATATATTAATCCAAGACACGCTGAGCCTACGTGGCTGCTTCTGGTGCTTCGGAATCTTATGTGGCAAAATTACATGCTTCGTTATTAGGCTTGGGTAAATTTTAATTTAATTCCAAACCAAAAATAAT